TACAAAAATTTCTCAAAGCCAATCAAAACACTTAATAAAACATCGAATGATTTTTACATTAGTAGTACATAAGCGTAATTTTTAAAGGATCGAAATCAGTTTATAACTCACGTATGACCTATGACATCCATGAACTAATTTCGATCCACTAATTACGTGCACGATAATCTGAGAAAAAATGATTATATCTATTAAATTTTGGTTTCCGGGTTTGTGCCGCGTGGATTTTCACCCGGAAACCAAATATAATATGCATGGACTCTGCGAAAGCCTAAAATATCAAATGATTATAACTAATTATACGAAAAAATTATACATGATTATATATAAATTATATATAATTATATATACTCCCCTCCCACGCGTATATATGAATTTTGTCTCTATATGATATCACATATATTATATATAATCATATATAATTACACAAGACTATGAAAAATAAAATCTTTTGCCGAAAAAAAGAACTATTATTTTTTATGTATTTCGACATGTTGAAGTTGAAATTAAGCATTTTTTATATTCTATGTAGAACATGCACGCTATGATTAGATTTTCTTAGCTTAAAAACAATAATCATGTATATTTATCTATTAAAAAACATACAAAACTTTTAATAAGCGAGATATTAAATTATATGTACGAGATATTTGATTTCCATGAATCCCCTAGCCTCTCACTTACGGGGTGCTTTATTTCCTGAAAAAAAGTAATTATATATGAATTCTGTTTGTATTTAGCAATATATAATCATATGTAATTATATATCATTAATGTCCCATATGTGAGAGGTAAGGGAACTCACGGAAATCAATATACCGTATATATAACTTAATATTTTGCTTATTGAAAATTTCCAACAGTATATTTTAAAACATAAATATATATGATTATTGTTTTTAGAAACAAGCTAAGAAAATTTAATCACAGCATGCATGTCCTATATAGGATATAAAAATGTTTAATTTTTAGCTTTTTTGCTTATTATAACAAAAATTTGATATGCTACGTTATTTTAAAAATTAAATTCTCGGTTTATCGAAGTATATAAAAAAAATAGTGGTTGCTCTTTCCAATAAAAAAACTTTTTATTTTTCTGTATTACATAAATTTATACAGAAAATGTTATTGAATGAAAAAAAGGAAGAAATGATTTTATTCCATTAAACGTCGATATCGTGAGCTACTAGAAATATAAGTATTTATTTCGATTATATTTGTAAAACTTATAATTACTTTTTTCGATTATATTTGTAAAACTGTATTTTTTCAGTATGGACATATACAATTATATATGATTATATGTTGCCAAATACAAAAAAAATTCATATATAATAATTTTTTTTCCAGGAAATTTGGAAAGTTACGTGCGCCGTTAATGATGTGAGTCTTATGCTCCACGACGTAACCTTTCAGGCGCGTAGACATTAGAGTAACTTACGAATTAACTTTTAATGAGATACTCGCTTACCCAATCTCCAGGGACTCGGATGCTGCAAATATTAAGCTCAGATATAAGCGCGGTAATATTGCGCGTATGAGTTACATACGCCGCTCTTTTGTTCCTATATAACAGATATTTTTGCGTATATTTTATGAAAACAGTGGAAGGGAGTGGAAAAACGAGAAAACGCGAAATAGAGAGAAATGCTTCGGCAAAATTGAGTTTAACTAAAAATTGTTTCTACAGCGACGTGCACTGATAGACAGTGAAAAACATGTTGTTGATCCAACAATGCGTTAGTAAGAATAGAAGAACTATCGACGGAACAATAGAACAGAAGTCCGATACGTCTCTCATGTATAAGAATAAACACGAATATTGATATCGGTACCATTTCAAACGGTAATTAATTTTTCTCTCCATCATTTTCGCAGAAAATAGACGGTTGCATTTCACCGCTCTTTAAATTCACACGTTTTATGGCAATTAAAATAATATTTGCATTTCAGTATATTCTTGCGTATCCTTTCTATTTATTTTTTATCGTTTAAAATTTGTATTTTCGTTTATTAAAAATGAAAGAATACTTCACGAGTGAAGTATCACTTATGTTTATGTCAATATATTTACGCATATTCGTAATAAAATCATAAGATTAAAAAAATTACCTCTGCAATTTGGCAAGCAAACATACTGAACGACTATCACATAAGAGATTTTTTTGTTCTTTTTAGCCGAACTATATATATTAAGCTTTTGTTTTTAAAGTGAAATAAATATTATATACAATCTAACGTTAAAGAGGAGAGGAATATAGTTTTAGTATAACACTATAGTTATAAAAAACACGAGTCTAAGAATATTTGGATTAAGTATATACTGTTAACCCTTTCAGGCATATATTATTCCTTGCATTGGCAATACTTTATCTAAAGATTTCTTGGGTTGCTGAATCCAAATATGCGGTCAAAATTTTCTAATTATCAAAATTTAAGATGGGGGACTCAATATGCTGATTAAAAATATAACAACAGATCTATTTTTTTACGAGTTAACGTTTTTGAAGATTTTTTGAACTGTAGAATTTGAATTTACGGTTTAAATGGTCATAAAAATTTTTCCAATGACCAATCACAGCTAAAGTAATAGTAATGAAATGAAGTCAGTAGAGAGAGAGCGAGAGAAAGACTTCTGAAAATTTTAAATTTTTGATCTCGTACTTGGATTCAACGAATCCCTCATTCTACAAAACAAGCTTCACAAAAATAGGACTATTTTTCACCATTCTTATCTGCTATATTGAGCTCGCAATTTAGAATTTCTTGAATTTACAAAATTCGATTTTAATGAATTCAACGATCTAAAATACTTGTACCAAAATATATACCTCAACAATAAAACTATTTTTTAATATTTTTAGTCGTCATATTGGGTTCGTTATCTTGAATTTTTTTATTCGAGATTTTAGTTAAAAAATTCGGATTCTGTAACTCAAAATACCTTTTGTAAGGAATTTTAAAAGAAACACAATGATGTGTTGTATGGATTATTTATAAGAAAAATTATACTTTCTTACATTTTTTGACAAAATAATTATTAATAACAAAGAAGAAACATAGCCAAAAATCTTGCTAAGATACTGAAGAATATTATATAGTGTACTGAGTATGAATAAAAATAGTTTTGATGAAAGGTTCGTGGAAACCACTTTTTTTTAACCAGCTAATTTTAACTATTTGTTTATTTGTAGAACTTGTACAATTAACAATTGATGACTGTAGATCTTTTTATATTTGCTAATGTTCTACGGATCCTATAGAATAAGAAAACTCTATACATTTTATTAAAAAACTCTCGAACAATTTCAAAAACTAAAAAGAAAAAGCCCATCATACCGCAAAGGGTTCAGCAAGAGAATGTATTGATTTACAATAAAAGAAAGATTATAGGTATACTTTTCTCTCTCTTTCTGCCTCACTTTTTTGAATGCATATCAAAACATACCCGCTCTGTTCAATAAAGAAATTCTTTCATTGAAAAACAAATTTTCTCATTGGACAAAATAGATGCATTTCGAAACGTGTCTGAAAAAGTGAGGTAACCTTTCTGTTAACGAATATATTTTGGCTCGATTCGTCACCATTCTTATAAAGCTTATTTTTTTTAGATGAGCTGATGTTATACTAGAATTTTTTTCCTTTATACTAGGACTTCCAATATTCACTGTCATACATTGCTGAAAAATTATAGTTCATGTTACATATATTATAGATTTTCAATGTTGTCAGTAATTCTGAAATATAGCCTAGGCTATATATTTATTTCACTGTAAAAATGGAAAATGCAGTCTGGTTCAGCTAAAAAGAATAGACGAAGATTGCATTCTAAAACGTCTTTCTTGAGGAAAATTTTATTCAATACCTATAGTTCACATACATTCTGTTAAATAAGTACCGGATATTATTCATTTCAAAAGCTCGCGTAAAAGGTATGAAAACAAATTTTTTGTTGTAAGTTAGTACCAATGTACCTAATTGTCACGTAGAGTTTTGGCGCCATCTGTCATCAATCAGTTTGTTTACAAACTGTTGGTTTTGTTAATCGACCTCTGTGTACTCTGCTTTTTTTAAAACGAATAAAAATATCGAACAAAGAGTTTGCCTCAAATTTTGTGTTGCCAACGAAATTTCTTGTACTGAGTCGTTGAAAATGTTGGAAAAGGTCTACGGTGAGTCAGCTTTATCGAAAACACGAGCATACGAGTGGTACAAAATATTCAAAGAAGGCTGAAAAGTGGTTGAAGACTTGCCTCGTTTAGGTCGACTTTTAACCTCTTCGACTGACGAAAATATCGACAAAATGAAGGAAATGGTGATGGAAAATCGTCATTCAAGCTTAAGAGAAATGGCACTGGGCGTTATAAAGTATTTGATCGAGATTGTTCACCAGAAAAGGCCAGATTTGTGGAAGAACAATTCTTGGATTTTGTACCACGATAATGCGCCGTCCTACACATCGACCCTTGTACGCGGATTTTTTACCAGAAACTCAACGAATGTCATCGACCAAGCACCGTATTCGTCAGATATGGCCCCGTGTGGCTTTTTTCTGTTCCCCAAACTCAAATTACCATTTCGTGGAAGACGTTTTGAGTCTATTGAAGACATAAAACAAAATTCGTAAAAAGAGCTGCAGACCATACCAGAAAGTGCTTATAAGAAGGGTTTTTATGACTGGATTATTCGTTGGCATAAGTGTATCGCATCAAATGGGGCTTATTT